GTCTCCGTCCGCGCGGGTGCTCCTGGCCGCGCCCGGCCTGGCTTGCGCTGGTTCTGTGGGTTGCTCTTTGCTCTAGGGAGTGTTAAAAATTGTTTTTAGAGAGGGCAAACTAAGGCACGCAAACTCCCTGGCCGTTCTCTGTGCAAGTTTCTGCGCGCTGAGCTGTCCCGTGACAAGCGCTCAGGTGCAGAGGCAGCTGATGGAAGAGATGTGGCTTTTGCGCAGCACGAAGGCTCGTTTACGTTGCAGTACTAGTATGGACGTGACACGGCTGCCTAGACTGTCACAAACAGACATCTATAAAGTTGCATAACGGGAAAATGGAATACATCTTAAGCTATATTTTTAAATAAGAGAAAGTTTTAACTGGTATATCAGGCTCGCTGTTAGTTTCTGTATGATTTCTATGCATTTTGCGTTAAATATGATACAGTAGTCTTTTTCCCTGTGTCCCTATGAATGATGAAAAGGTCAATTCTTAGCATTTTTAAGACAATAAAGTATTTAACAAGATTCAGTACAGCCTCAGCACCTCCACTGCCCTCCTTTTGGAGGATTTATTGCTTGAAATTAATATTCGGGGCTGACTGTGGTTTATGAATTCTTCACTGGAGAATAATTGTCTCTTTTGCTGTGTCTTAATTGATTTTTAATGATGTGGCATTTCTTTTTTTTTTTTTTTTTTTTTTTGTACTAGAGCTATTAAAATAATTGTATTTCAAAAATTTTGCTTCCATTTTTTCTTTTAGAGGTAGAGACAGAACAGATCCAGTATGGGGACAAAGCTGTAATTCAGTTATGAGATACATTGCATGTTGATGGAGCCCAACACTGTTGTTTTAAGTTCACAACAGTGTAATGTTACTGCCCGCCTAAGTTTGTCCAGTGTTAACCTGTGTTTTCTTGTGGAGGCTATTGAACTTCACCCTGACACCTAAGCACAGTCCTTTACAAGCCTGCCTTCTCCTTAGAAGGAGGAAATGAAGGATTCATTTTCAAGCATAAAGAGGCTCAGTTGGGTAGTTGGCAGTGCTATTCGTATATGGCATACAGAGTCTTTATTTAGAAGAAATCATTAAAATAATCTATAAATCTAGACAGGAGAATCTCAGGGTCGTGTCCACAACCACACCGCTCTGCCTTTGCTGAATGGTATTTTGTTACAATTTCCTTCTCAAAGCAGAGCTCTTCATGCAGTAGCAAGGTGTTGGGGGATTTTCAGTGCTAGTGCTGACAGGATCTGTTGTGCAACTGGTACAGGTTGATCTGAACAATAAATTTTGAAGTGATAAAGGCAAGTAATCATGGATAACTAGGAAGAGAATAGGAACCCTTCAGTTTATTACTGTACATATTATGTACGTTACTTTTATTGGGTTTTTTTGGTAAGCTTTTATGCAGATTAAACTTTAGTGCAAGATTGTGAAAGCTGGTTTGTGTTTATAATCAAAATGAATTCAACTACAAATCAATGATTATTTATAGTTGAAGAAAATGAGTATGTCAAGGTTAACTTATGATTTCAGAACAGAAACAATGAAAAATGACTGGTATGACTAAAATGGTTTAAATATTGAAGGCTCAAAGGAGTAATATTGAAAGAATATGTTAAAGGGCTTGGTCTATAAGCAGAACTGCCTATAGTTGTGCACAAATTGAATTAATATTTAATTCATTGAAGTTATTAAAGGTCAACTGAATGTATTACTAGTGTAATGAGTATAGAATTAAGAGTACCAATTTTTAAAAAAAGTACAGAGTGTGTACAGCTTTAAAAGGCACTTGCAGTCAGATATTTAAAAAATAATTACTGAAAAAAAAAATTTCTTTAGCTGTATGCTAGAAGTTTTTAGATGTCCTAAATTTTTAGCTCACTAGTTTATAGTTAAGAAAACTGTTTTGGCAAGGCCACTACTATATGCTTAAGTCCAGAGTGATAGGGCTGACCCTATTAAATGATCATAGTTTTCTGCAGTCTGCTGCTTAATAGGCTGTGAACTTTCCTGGCTTTCTTAATCCCTTTTAATCATTTAAACCTATTATTGTTTTGACTTGAATTTCAAAAGCCCTTTAAATCTGTCTTACAATGTTAATAGCTGATTAAAGTCCTGATTTCCAACCAAATTATCAGTGGGGAGTCTGTCTTATTACACTGAATAATTTAGAAGCAACTATTTAGGAAAATGTTGATCAAGGGGGGGAAAAAAACCCCAACAACCCAAAGAAAAACATTACTAGGTACAGTTTTTCTGGTGTTTTATGTTAGTGATCGTATCCGTGTGAGAAACTGGGGAAACAAAATGCTTCTAATTTACGACATCTATAACTGTGTTTCTGTTTTCTTTTATGTTTCAGTAGTATAATTTAAAATTAATTCTGTGTTGAAATTTAAATTAATTTTATTTTCATAATAAGTATTGTGGTAATAAATCTTTCTGCTAACATATTTTTTGATTCCTTTCACCAGAAACTCCAAGTTTTTTTCTGAAAAACAGAGGTTTGTATAGGATGTGATGCAGCTGAATAAGACTCCAGTCAGATAAGTATGCAGGAGCTGGCTACTAATAACTAGGTAAAAACGAAAACACCAGAAATTCCTCCATGCGTTCTCCAAGATGGTCCTTCATTTTCTCAGCCCTGACATTTCTATTCCAGTAGCAGTGTTTAAAGTCTGGAATTTTTTTATACACGAAATGGCCAAGATCTGTGGTTTGAGTTGCACTTAAACTTTTGCTTAAGCAGATGCTTTTGTTTTGTTAAGCAGTGTAA